TTCAATTTTGGGCATCCTGCGAAAGATCTACTGATAGTTACGTACTAATCATTTCGTTGTTCAATTTAGAACGACAAATATAGAATAGTGACTCTCAGGCCAAGAAGAGAGGGCACATCCCCCTATGAATATTGATGCAAGGGAATATTTATACAAGTTTTTATTTATTTGATTTGATGTTTTAATCATTTGATTTGTTTTAGGATTTATCAACATTTCGCCAGTTATATAGGTCCAGGAAAATATTTTTCATTGTAAGAAATTTTTGCAGACGATAGTGGTTTACTGATAGAATTTATACTAATTAACCCGTAGCTAAGAGGAGAAGATGCGTATTTATAACTTTCCCAAGGTTATTTGCGAATATAACGAACCCGACTGGAATTAGAATTCGGCTTTCTGATTCTTAATTCCGAGCATACAGAACGTGGTATCCCCTCGTTGCCACTGATTTAGGTTCTAACCAGACTCGACTTTGCTTAACTTTGTTAACTGTACGAGAACGAGGCACGGTGGAATAATCGTTAGCGGCTCGGATGAAGGAATCAGAGAACCGAGTTCTAATTCTTGTCGGGTTCGTTACATTTACTGTCTTTCTAACAACCTTGGGGACCGTATGAATCCATCATTCCCCCTCCCACCAGTTATGGGTGAAATCACTGGAAAGTTTGGATTTCAACCAGTCTAGGAGAAGGAAACTCTGAATTCGAAACGGGATAGAACCCCCCTAAAAGTGTTTATATATATGGCTTGAGGCGGCTTGTGAATACAAATTCCTACTGGAACTCCTGGATTTGCACGTCCGAATGAATGCGACCTCCGTTACGCTAGGTCAGCTTTCGTCCGGTGAGTTCGTTTCACGGAGCCGGCTCAATCGACCGGGTGGATACCGTAACAGGTACATGTACAGGGGCACGTGAACAGGTGTTCAAACATGATACGGCCGCAAGCCTGTTACCTATAAGAAGATCAATACATATGGCCTTGCATTCTACTTAGTAAATATATTTTTGGTGTGTAGGCACATAATACAAGAAAATATCGTTGTAGTATGAATCAGACTGTGAGTTCAATACCCGGTTAAGTCAGTGGAGAACTTCCAAAGGTAAAATTAACAGGAGATAACTGATAACTGACATCCATTAAACATGGCACGTGGAACTACAACAGTCTACCCCAGTGAGCGAAATAAAGGGTTCAATTCGACATTCCAACCACCTGAAGGAGGCCGAAACTTTGTAATAAATATAGCGACAAAGATGAGGACAATATTCCGAATGATGTAAATAATGTATAATGATGTAAATAATATACCTCATCTCAGAAATATAGACATATATTGAATCAGATAGATTTGATGAAAGAAATATAGATTTATTTTATAGGATTTTATTATACGAAACTTGAATGAAAACAGTTAAGTGAAGTTTAGGATTCATCATATATGGCAAATACCAGCCTGATATTGTTCGTTCTATTTTTTCTCTTTTGAAATCAAAGAAAATTTAGAAAATATACCATCATGATAAATCTACCGAATAAAAAAACAAGGGTAAAAAAAATAAAATCACACACACACATAAATCAGTTGCTTTCTGGTTAGATGTGAAGCATAAATTCATAAATTTATGAAATTCAGTAACAGTATAAAACTATTCAGTAGCCATTCATCTTATTCTCCTGCCCTGAGAAATTAACGTTTATTTTAAGCAGACGATATCTAAATTTAACAGTATTTTATTGTGCGAGCAAAAAAGTTATTGACAAAGAAATGATCACGTGACGGCGTATCATTATTATTAGTTTACTTTTTTTTTCAGTACGAACAGCAATAAAGATTTAACACATTTCTTTTGTTTTATTAACATTATTAGCCTATATATACGGTAAAAAAGACTGTCATATTTTTTTATATAATTTTCTTTGTTGAATTATTTTATTTCTATGAGTAATAAAGAAATAATATTATCTATAACTGCTAGCACATATGGAGCGGTGCTCCTGCTATATATTTAGAGATTCTTGGTAAAATCCAAAGAAGAATTAGCAATATTGTTGGTCCATTCCCGGTGTGTTGGCTTCAGGGACATTCTCATCGGCGTAGTTCCCATTTGCCTTTTCTATGAATACTTTTATGGTGTGACGTCGTCCCCCGGTCGCAGCGTCGACTGTGTCGTTCGATCCCGTTCGCGGCGCCAATTGTGACGTCACGTGGTCCCCAGGCTCTGATATCCTGTTCACGGACAGCACCAGTTGTTACGTCTTTTGTCGCGGCGTCAGCTGTTCGCTCCTCGCTGCTCCAAACGTGACGTTCTAACCCTTTGGTTAGATTGATACCAGCCTCGTCGTTCCCAACCTGCTTCCAATGCCTGGTTACCAGGGTAACTGCACTGATCTCCGGACTGCCTACCCACGTTGTGACTTGATCTTAGACAGACGAGATCAACAGGGCTTGGGGCCGTAATGCAAGTTGAGTCTAACGGGGTGATATCACACAATTATGTATAATAAAAAATAAAATAACAACTCACAAGGTCCAACGTATCAAGAAAAAGGTAACAAACTTTTATGTCTATTTGCTCGTTACATAGGACTATGTCTACCTCCCGACCCGTTCTGTGGATTGTGGCACAACGCTTTTACTAGGCAACTTTAAGGCTTCCAGTTGTCTGCTCTCTTAGAAATTTGCGTTTCGGTGTGTCTTTGGACGAAAGTCGAAAAAAAACTTATTTCTTGTGGTCTGATTCTAAGTCGCTCTTCAAACTACCTGTTCTTGGTTGAAGAAGAGTCTAGAAGTGTGCGTGAATCTTGGTTAGCTATCTTGATGCGGTTTCAACACTGGGCGCTGATCTCTGCTTGTCGTTCACGGCTGATCTCTCTCGCCGTCCGCGGCGCAAACTCTCTTCTCTTCAGAGTCTGAATTATTGGTCACTCATCCCGCCGTCAGTGCGCGAATTAACTTCTTCTCTTCGGCTTGCTCTGATTCCAACTTCTCCACTTAGGCCAAACGGACCGGCCTCTCTTGCCCGCAAAGGGGCGAATGAACCGGGCCCGCCGCCCGCGCTCAAACTCCCTCGCCGTCCGCGGCGCAACTCTCTGATTTCTGTCGGTTGGGGTCCCGCTTTTATTGACGCAGTCAAAAACTGGGGTGGGTCTGTCGGCGCCAGGGTTTTCTTGATAATTCTAAATACGTATCCACCCTTCTTATTTCTGGTTAGGTATTTTCCATTTTCGGTAATTCACTTTCACTCCTACTTCCTTATTGTGTCTCTGAGGGCGTATACCCTCTTCTTCTTATCGGCTCCTCACACTTACACCTCTGACAAGGGCGTCGACCGATTCTCCTCGTGTGTCACGTGACCGCTCTCGGCCAATGAGATCCTGATCGGGTATTTTTCCTCCTCCTTCGTGCGCCACGTGATCCCATCTAGCCAATGGCGTTTTTGGTCGGGCGTGGACAATCCGTGGCTTTGTTCTGGGGGAAGAAACACCTTGCTTAAAGAAACAAAAATTTAAATTGCCCTTTTCGTACGTGACCGAAATGACGCTCTCGGTTTTTGTTTTTTTTTTTTACACGCGGTATTTCTCAAACAGTTTATCGCTAATTGGATACGATCTAAGAAAGGGATTTCTCAGACTGGGTGGCGTTTTCGTGAACTAATAAAAATATTTCACTTTTTCTTTCGCGGCCAAAGGCCTGATAATAAAATTTTTCATTATCTCAAAAAAATTATTTTCAGCCAACATCATCTTGTGTGGCTTTATTTTCAATTCTGGAATGGTCTGTATTTTCGTATTAATGGTTTGCCTGCATATCCTTAGATAAACTTCCCACCTGTTACCTATCATATTTTGTTCCATTGTCTCTAAACTTTATTTCTTCAACCAAATTGATAACAAACTTCCATTTTTCGTGGACACGGAAGTAGGTCAGGTTCTTGACCTGGATATCTTCCAACATCTGTTATGTATCAATCGAGTGTGTGTGTGTTCGCTTATGACCTGGTTTTCGTATTATATTTTTTTTCTTTCTTTTTCTTCTTCTTCTTCTCTTTCTTTCTCCCAGATCGATTGAACGCAATTAAAGAATTATTCTCAAAACCCAAATATTTTTCAGCTCTAAATAATTATCAAATGGTTGACAAACCGTAAAAAATAAATCATATATTTATGAATATTTCATTTCAGCCTGCCAACTTATGCATGGTGCCACAATGGTAACTGTTCGGATGAACTGTCTGCTATTGCCCCTAGAAATTATGAATTTAAGGCCATACTTGAATGGAAATTTACAGTTGAGATGCATAGATATAAACGTTATAAAAATTCTGTCTTAACAGTTAATTTCCTCGCACTTCTCGCTTACGGAAATTTCTTTCGGCTCTATGCTTTCCAGACAACTTTGATCTTCAAACATTTAAATGCAATATCAGTCGTTTTCTATTGTCTTCTGCCGCTTTTCATTAATAATGTTTCCCATTTTTCTTATTCTTTCACACTCAGTAACCCCTTGAGTCTTAGTGGCTTTACTGCCTTCCATCAGGTGAATCAATTCTGCATTTTTAATTAATAAATAAAATTACCCCAATAAAGACTGTTTTTTCGGTTTATCAATTTTTTGAAGATTAATTAAAGCCAGAAAGTTTTTTTAGATTGTAAAATATTTTGGGAGATAATAATGAATTAGTGATATACAAGTTTAACTAATTAACCCGTAGCTGGGGGAAGAAGAGACTGATTTATACCTTCCCCAATATGATTGCACATAAATGAATATAAAGAACCCGATTGGAATTAGAACTCGGTTTTCGATGTCCAATTCCCAGCCATTATCCATTAAACCAACCGCACATCGAAGCTTATAACACTTAGTATTAAAAAGCAGTGACCCATACAGGTACTAAGCAAACCCGACATTGCTTAACTTTGGTGATCATACTAGAACCGGTGTTTCCACGTGATATGGCCATAAGTCCATTATACTATCTGCATATCCAAGCTTGCATGACCTGGTATTCCTAAGCGGTCACCAATCTAGATTCTGGCCAGGATCGACGTTGCTTAACTTCGGTGATCATATGAGAACCGGTGTTTCAACGTGCTATGACCGTAATCTTTCTGAAGAAAGATAACACCACGATTTTACAGATTAATTATTTTTTGCTCATTGTCAAAAAATATTAGAAATTTAACTTATTTTGCAATTCTATTGATTCTTTTTTCCCCCGAGTAATCTAAGTTTCTATCTATTTACTTAATAATGTTGGCCCAGGGATGAAAAAATCTGTATTTTTCAGTAATAAATGAAACTACACAATGATGCCTAAAGCAGGGATTTATTTATTCCTGTTTAAAACAGCATTCTCAGATTAACGATTAAAAATAGCATTGCGCGAGTGAAACGTGTGACTTCGGGCGAAAAGCATCCTTCTTCAAACCTTGTAGACTGGCGCTATATAATCACAAATAAAGAAAAGTATAAAATAACAGAAGCTACAACCACAACAATAGCAGCAGGTATTATGGATATCATATGTAACTGGGAGAGGAAAAAATTATAGAATCATTATGTTGACATCCCATACTACTTAACATTTTTAAGTAGTATGGGATTTACGTAGGAAAGAACTATAAAAGCTACTGGACTCGAGAAACCTATTACCCTGCCAAATTATTTCATGAGAAATATTTTATAAATTTCAAACGAAAATAGCAGTGGCTACTCGGTTAATGACTACCTAAAATTTCCTTATAAGGAAACAGCTAATATTGCTATTTGCATATATTAACAACAATCTCTCGTTTACATATACAATCTAAAAATATTGGACATACGCAATGTACGATTGTTATTTCTACAATTAACATGATTGCTGCATTTAAGCAATCGGTAAGCTGATTTCGAATTCGTTACACTCACTTCTCCACAGATATCTTTGGAAAGGCATGAATCCATCTCTTCCGCTTGTTATGTGTTAAAAAGCTGGAGAGACTTGTCTCTTCAGTGTATGTTGATAAAGAATCTAGGCGAAGGTAAATTCAAGATTCAACACCATTTCAGCCTAACTCCGTCACGCGGAAAGCATGGCTGTATGGAAGCCACAGTAGCAACGTCTAGTGTAGTGAATCTGTGGTCCGATACACGAGAGTTGTGTACATGACTTGATTGAGTTAGTACATTTCATGTTAAAGTAAATTATTATTTAAAAACATCGAAATTTAAATAAAGTATCTATAAAAAACTTATACGAAACAAAAGTAATTAATATAATACGTCATAACCCTGATGATCCTTATTTGTTAATCAGAAATATCATTGCTATTGTACGATATTCAATTGCAACCATTGGGTAATTTCTGGTTACTAAGTAAGATAGATCAGGTTTCGTGACCGATTAACAAAATAACATTTTGATTTATATTATAGAATATATTATAAATGCGGAGAGGAAAGCGAATTGATTTTAATATTAAAATATAAATAATTCTAACAGTTGGTTGTTTAATAAATGTTAAATAATTTTATACAGTATCAGTCTGAAAGAATTCCTAAATGTATTTCACTACCGCAGAATTTAAAATCACTCGTGCTAATTATAGGCTGAATTCGGTCTGGACATCTATAACTACAAGGTTTATTTTATCTGGATTTTGTTGAAATCAATTCACTACAAGCAAAGCAAAAATACCTCTAGGAGATAGGGGTCTACTGGGAATGAAAGAGAAAGAAAAATACTTCAGAAGGAACCGAAAACCTAATCCAAAATAGGAAACAATAAGCCTCTATTCCTGTTCAAAAGACCCTGGGGTGTTGGAACCGGACCATAAGAGAACTTATCTACTCCCATCGAGAAAAGAAAAGAATAATTAATAAATATTAAATTAAAAGAAAATTTACCCAAAGAAACTGTCATTATGAATCATTATAATTTATAAATATTAGAAACTAGCTTAAAAGACGCCCTAACTGGCGGCATTTAAGCTAGCTCCTGCGGAGAGCTCTTGATTGGACCTTCGCTTTGTTCTGGAATTTGAGAATCCCTAGTATTTGCATATTTTCAGTAATTGATGTTCTTCTGGCTGCGGTTTTATCTGGGTCCTCATTTGCACGGGACTTTTTGTTTCTCTCTGCAGCCTTAGCTCTTTTGATTTCATTCTGGTTCTCTCTTGGCAGAGATTTCGTTTTTACGATGCATACTGCTACCGTATGCGATAAACTACAGAAGAACTCAAAATTGATTGCTGCATTTAAGTACTGCATTAATATTTAAGCTTGCCACTTAAAAGTTCAACGAGAATTCTTCTGCCGCCACTTAATTTAAAAACAATTTGATGTGCCCTTACGTTCCGCAGAAAAAAATATTTTTATTTCACAGGTGACTTTCGTTGTATTTTGCAGTTAAATTCGAGTATTCCCAAATTTATTTCCAAGTTATAAAAACTTTTATCGTACAAAAAAAAAAAAAAAATGTCACAAAAAATCACGTAAAAAACAATCACCGTAATGCAAACTTGGGAATCCAAAATTTCTATAACATTATCTATTGAAAGTTATAGAGTTGTGCCCCTTTATTTGAAAAAGTGTGACAAAGTGACATACTGACGTTCGCATTTATTATATAGAAGAAGGAATTATTTTTTTCTTATAAATAGAGGGAACAGTTACATTTACAGTTTTTGACAATGATATATTAAAGTGGGTGTGTCTGAAAACTTCTCGGCCGACTAAAAAATCCTTCAGAGGAATAATGATGTCTATTTATTTTATCAGATTTTCCGTCAAGATCACAAATTTTCAGAAGACCTTGATCTTAAAAATGAATTGCTACCTCGGAATGTAATTAAACCATCCTAGTATAATTGTCTTTCTCCTTGTCCCCACCGCCATCTTTATTAGTTCGCATGACCATTATATCCTGTCAGTATTTCATAAATAAAGGACTATTTGTTTTGATCGCATGGAAAGACACATCATTTCAAAGGGAAAATAAATGAATGAAAGAAAGAAAGAAAGAAAAGATATTAAGCTGTCTCAGTGAAATGGAAAAAAAAACTTGTCAATTTCAAATCTTTTCATTTGTACCCACTTCTTAAAATAACGATCAGCATTAATATTTATGATTGTTATTGTAACATTTTGCTGAAGGTAAGTTCAGATATTTAACGATTCAACAGGGGAATTTCTACAGATATTTGATTGGCGGAGAACTCGCAATGAGTTTATTCAATTATTAAACCTAAGAATTAACATCCATCAGAAAATTCAAATACGAAAACCGTGAAAATTTCACGTGTTAAATCTAGTTATCATTAATTAGAAGCGATCATATTAAAAATAATAATTCTGCTAAAATTTCCATATTTAATGACTTGAAATCAATCTTTGCACAAATATTATAATTGTTCTTTTATATGGCAAGTTGTTTCAGGTAGTTAGCAATCATGGCTCTGAACAGCTTTTGTGTTTTGGCTTTCTAAGTAACTTTTTGATCTTTGAACAGCTTGCGTTATAATCTCCTACAAATCATTTATATTGAATACACGTTTTGTTTGCTTTCATTATGCCCTAGTTAGTGTTAAATTCTCTAGGCTACTTTTCCTTATTATGTGTGGGTTTATTACTGTTAGTTCACCTAAGATAAGGCTCAAGGTCCACTCGAATAGAGAGTCACTGAGAGATATTGCAAAGGAGAGGGAAGTAAGAGAGAATTATGAGGGCGAATCGGATAGATATTGGTGGGCTTAAAGAAACCCAGATTGTAGCTGTCAGCAGTAACAGTTCTATGACTGAAGCTGATCTGACATGAAGACAAGACAATTTCGTGTGTGCAGTTTATATTCAACCATGATTATCATCAAAATAAGGGTATAACGTTTTTTTTTTTTTGACAATCTTTAATGAATATAGATTTAACTTAATAAAGAACTGATTCATCTGCAAAAATGTCAATCGTTTCGTTCTTTAAGTTTGACCTTCAACATTTGGCTGGTTTCTCTCTGATTTATTTTACCACCAATCTCTCAAGAAAAGAAACAACTTTTTTCAGTTAGTGATATATATATATATATATTTTTATTCTTATCTTTATCTTTTAGTTTCCCAATAGAGAGTTGCTTTCTTTCTTGAAGTTTTGAAATGATCAATGTTCATTGACTTTTCTCTCATCTTCCACTGTGGATATTATTGTATCAACATAATGTGTCCGCTTTAGCATCTCATATGATGTGTATAGGGCAAAGTAACAAGTTCCTGAATTTTTCCTATCATAAATTTAAGCTGTTTCTTTCTGATTGTAAGCATACGTTTCGTTGTTTCGATTTAACATAAAGCACTCACGTTACTCATATGTTTTATTCGTGTTAATCTCAGCAGTCATTGGCTGAACTACATCTATTTAACATAGTTGCTTCGTTGAGTTAATTATCCATGATTCAGTGCCATATAAGAGATTAGATGTTACATATTACTGATCAACATGGACTTTCTTTTGTTTCCAGCGACATTTTCTTAAGAATTTGTTTGGTTTCTCGAAGACAACTCTCTCTGTTCCTATTTGCACCTTATGCCGCATTTTCTCAACTAACCAGTTTGTAAAAATTTCTCCGGAGTCACCAATACGAAGCTCAATTGCTGACCTCACCCTTCTTTTGACAAAACATACATGGAGTCCCTTAACAGTTTTTTTAGAAAATTGATCTTGCATTCAATTATTACCTAGAATTAACCGTTGTGATTTAAAGTTCCTTTCTAGCCCGCTTTTAAATCTTATAAGTACAGAATTTTAAATATCTGGAATGCTTTTTTTTAACAGAGAACGGAAAATGTTCTACCGACATCAGAACACGAAATCCAAAAGTTAAACAATGTACTAAAAAAAGGAGGAAAAATCGTTAAAAATACAATAAAGAATTAAGAAACCTGCACTGCATTGTTGTGTAATATGAATGCATTTCTGTGGCAATGAATGAATGTCACTAATTTCACAGATAAAGAGCAGACGAAAGGCAACGGTTCTACAGAAGGATACTGAGAAAACCGTGGATAGATGGTGTAAACAACGAAAGAACTTTAAGGAAAATTAAAACAAAATGTATACTTGTACGCAGAATCAA